CCTCACACATATCTGACTTCTTCGGCCCTGGGCTGCTGGAGTCAGCGCTGGCACCTTCCGCTGGGCTGTGCGACCGGATGCGGCTGCTCATCTGAATGCCACCTTCTTCCTCTTCTGCCTGCTCATTCTGCCCGGAGATGTCCCCGCTGCCCGCGCCTTGGGGGAGCGGTGAGTGCAGAACCTCAGTACAAAAGAGGGTGCGAGGGCCGTGGAGCTCACAGAAGTGGCAGAGGGCAACAATAGCATTCATAGTGAGAGCTCAGCACATGCGTCAGGCCTCCTGCGGGTAAGGGAGAACACACACAACATCAGAACGACACGTATTAAAGCATCTCCTTGGCCTGGTCACCACAGGTCCTGTTCTGTACCCCTACATGGGCGGCTGCCCTTAAGCTCAGCCTAAGGAACCAGCACAGCTCCACCACGGGGTGACCTGAGCAAGGCCCAGCCCTTCGCACCCGGACAGGGTGGGAACAGCGCTGATTTAACCCGGGTCAACGACAATAACCCGCGACACCGCAAGCCCCAGTGGGGACGGGGACTGGACCGGAGCCCCCCGTGACCGGTTACCTCTGCTCTTACAGGGACAGGCTGGGGTCTGCGTGCCCGGACACCACCAGCGCAGCTTCCCCGTGCCCGGAGGCCCTCAGGGGGTAACCGGCTCTACTCAGCCCCCTCGGACCCGAACGCCTCAGGCCCAGCCGGACCCAGGCCTGCCTCCCCGGCCCCCCCGGTCCCGGGCACCGGCGACCCGGCCCAGACCGCTCTTACCGCGGCTCCGGCTCCCCCGTCCCGTCCCGTCCCGTGCCAGCGGGCGCCTGACACTGACTGACCCACCGGCCCGTACCATCCCTACCGGCAGCTAGGGGGGAAGAGGAGCCCGCAGCTTCCCGACTGCACACCCGCCGCCGAGGAGCGGCAAGGAGAGGGAGCGGAAAGCGGGAGAGAGGGAAGGGGAGTCGGTTCGTACCGCGGTACCGAGCCGGGCCTCCCCGCCGCCCTCCACACGATCCCCCGCTCCCCCCCCCCGGTGCGGCAGTGACTCGGCCCACGGCCGCCCTCTCCACAGGGGCTGGGCAAAACCATTACTAAGAGAGGGGGAGGATGAGAAGGTCCGGAACACTTCTCCTTCCTTCCCTCGTTATCCCGTGTCCCGCTGTTTCACCGCAGAGAGCTGACAGCAGTGCCCGCTCCTCAGGAGCCCAGAGGTGACAAGCCGCCTCCTGCGACCCTGCAGGGACTGCACCCGGAGCGGGATCCGCTCCCCCCATCCCCGCACCACATGGTGCGGGCCGCATGGCGGCTCACGGGCGGGGTCGCGCAGGCGCCGTGCGGGGTAAGGGCCGCGCTGAGGTGATGGAGGGCGTCAGGGGAGGCTGAGGCCGGAGGCTCCCATAAACCGAACCATGGGATGAGCATTAATTCATTAAATTATGAACATTCTAGCGTTAAAGCAGGGTAAAACGTGGAAGAAGGGAGCAGACACAGGGAAACGTGCTTGTTGGAGTCTCTTCGATACCAGTTCTCCATTAAACTACCCCAGTTCCTCTTCACCGAATCAAGTTTTATCGCTATCCCTAGAAAGCTGATGGAAAGATAAACCAAATTCCATGGGAACTAGTAATCCTTTCAGGCTTCAGAATAACGAAGTACTGGAGCCCCCCACCATTTGCTTTACATTGATGTCTTTTAAACACCCAATTCTGAACAGAAGCAGTTAAGCCTTCCACAAGGTACCAGGATAGAGCATTCCACTGAGTAAAATGTACTTAAATCCCAAGAAAGAGCAGCTATCGCCAATACCAGTGCAACATTTGCCTCTGGATCCATCATGTATGGGCTAAATTCTGCCTCTGGAGGAAACGGTACTCGGAGGATTCTTGGCACACAAAGATACCAAAGTGTTTGATCCAACATCTGATCCTGGAGGCCATGCTGGACACTTGTAGCAACACTTCCCAAGGAGAACGCACTGCCTGCACGAGAAGAACTCGTTGCTACTCAAGGTAATTCCATAGAGCTTGGACAAGGGGTTTGAACCAGCCCTGAGAGAGGATGCTGCCACGCTAGCAGCCAGCCAGCCAAAATCACACATCCCGAGAAGCAACAAGGACAAAAGACCCCCCCAGACCCCTAAGGCAAAGCCCAATAAAAGACCCTCTGTCTCATTTAAGACAAACTAAGGATGACTCGTTTGTTAGCTTTATTTGCCAATGGTACATTTAAACAGGTGCTCAGGACTAACCTCTTCAGCCCGGGTGGAAAACAACTCCTAGCTTATACAGAGTGCCTGTGACAACACATGGTTGTTGTTCGGGAGAAGAGTTATAGAACAGAATCATAGAACCCCAGACTGGTTTGGGTTGGAAAGGACCTCGAGATCATCCAGTTCCAACCCCCCTGCCACGGGCAGGGACACCTCACACTAAACCATGGCACCCAAGGCTCCGTCCAGCCTGGTTGGAGAAGGCAGCTGGAGTTAGGCAGAAGCATGGGTGTGTTAACAGAGGTCACCAACCAAGGCTCCTCTGCAGCACAAAACCAGGAGGGGTGGCTGCACACAAAGAGCTTCTAACACGTCTTCTTTAATACATCTTAATACCTCCTAATAGGAACTGAATCAGACACCCCTCCTGTGGCTAAGAAGTGTAGCTGCACGTCCAGTGCTACCTTCACACCTGCATTTTCTCTTTGCTGATTACATGAAAAGAGGACTCAGAGATCCAAGCATGCACTCAGTTATCTCATGAGCACATCTTGTGGCCATGCACGATGGGAAGCGCCAGAGACGGGACCTCAGAGAGCCTCAGCTCAGAGGAGCCCAGCACGCAGTGTTCTTGCACTTGATCAAAAGCCCTTCCCTGCAATAAATACAAATTAAAACCAGAAAGCTCAAGCGTTCTCAAAGCGCCTCAGCTGACCACAGCCCATGCAGGCAGTTCCAAGACTTGAATGAGCTCCTTCATTAGAAATCTGACTTAATTTCAATAGCATCTCCAGCCATGCAGATGCCAGACTCTGTTTATCACACTCTTACTTAAAAGCCCTTCCCTGAAGCACTTTTGGTGAACGCTTTATCTATGGATTCTACAGGTGGGACCTGACTTTGAATCTTCAACAGCACAACTCATAAAGGAACCTTAAAAAAACAGGTTAAGAAATATAGTGTAATATATCATTTAACCCATTACATTGCTATTTCTACCGTCCTTTTGATGTGAGCATGGATTTATTTTAGTTACTTTAGGCTAGAATAAAAAGGAGAAAATAAGCTGCTATTTGCCAACTGCATCTATTAGCTTGCTTCTAATTCCATAGCTCCAAAGCCATCCTGCAGCTCTGAGATTTTAAGTCCACACTCACAAGTAACAACTGGTGGTGTAAAAGCCCAGCCACTGCAACATGGGCATTGCTGGCTGTGACAGTCTGAGCCCTTGGCAGTGAAAGATAAGCCATCCACATCCTTTTATAGGTAGTAGTTTGGGGATAGTCATTTGCAGCCCTTTCGATGGCTGCCACCCAGTTGTGAACACTTTGACAATGCAGCTCTGTGCTTCAGCCCGCAGCATTAGTGATTACTAATTTAACACTTCCATGGTACCAGAGGCATAAGTATGTTCAGCACTGAAGTCACTGCAGGATTAACCAGGCAAAACACACCTTCAAAAATGATAAATATCTATAGCTGCAAGACCAGTAAGGCAAGCGATGCAAAAACCTAAGGTGGAAAAATTGCCTTTAAATATGGATGTGTCTATGATAGGAAGCGGCAGTACTCAGTGGTGAGCTGCTAACACTAGGGATTATGCTGTGTTTGATACTAAACTGCAATTTTAGACTTTTAAAGACATCTTTCACCACCCAGACAAGCACCTGGGCACATATCCCTTCTACTAGAAAGCACCCGCTGTCACAGAGGCTATGCTGGAATTGACACCAATTCCAAGTGCAAATCCCAGTGGGTCTGTATCAACACTGGAAGCACAAATAGGCTATTTTCAACCATGGGTGACCTCAATATCTACAAGCTTCACATGGCAACAGCCACAAAAGCTCAGCTCCTGCTTCAGCACCTGAAACAAAGCTGGCAGGTTAACAGCAGCAAGCAGCTCTTAGGCGTTTCAGTAGGAAGCACTGGGTGCTGAGCTGCTCATGTTCTGACTCGATGACAGATTTATTTATGCCTGATAGTAGATTTGCACCTACATGAAGTGTGTCAAAGGTGTTTGAACAGCGAGAATCGTCAGATACACGAGAACTACAGAAAAAGAGCCCACTGATTTAAGTGGTGAAGCATCCAACCACCGAGTTTTCATGTTTAAAACAGTGAATTAAAACCCAGGTAGGATTCCAGCATGTTATTTCCAAATAAAATCCTGACTTTTAAGAGCTCTAAAGGATAATTCTGTTTATGTTCCATGGAGAATTCTTTTCTTTGGAAACAAAGATCTACAGCATCACCTTCACTTGAACTGATTACCAGTTTGTTGAATACCTTCATGCCAATTGGATAGAAACAAAGATTTAAATGTCTTTCAGCATAAACAACATCCTATCTAGAATCCTCCAGAACACTGAGCTCTTCCAAATATCCTCTGGTTTAGGTCTAGTAAGTCAGACCCAAGAGGAAACATTAAGAGACATTCTGTACCAGAAACTTAACACCATCAATAGTGGGGTTTTCAGCACATCCACCTCACAAGGACTCATTAATACGCTCATCCTTTTGGGAAGAACACAGGTCTTCGTTCATCCTTTAATAGACAGCAGCCAGCTACACCGGGCATAGGCAAATCATCATGTAGAGAGTGAAACTCCAGCCCTCTCCCCCCACCATACATACACATCTGCACTTTGAGCCAACTTTAAATACAGAGTAAAGAACGAGGAATTATCTTGGATGTGAACCAACACTAGTTTGTATTCTTCCCTGAATAACACTTTTCTTTTGCAGAAGGGAAATAAAGGACTGCTACAGAAACACAGCAACATTCAAACCCTTTAAAACAAAAGGTAGATTATTTAATGCATTAATGATGTTAATCTGAAGATAAATAAATCCACAACAGACTTTTACGTTTCTTTTTGAGATTTCCTTTTTCTTTGCAGAGAATATTTCTGATATTATACAGTACTGAGAGGGTGTTCTTTTATGTTCTTAATGTCCAGGTGAAAAGCAAAGCTCAGTTCTCTCTGCTCTCTTCGTGGAACTCCTCAATGCCCTGTTCCAGGCGTGATTCTTTCATAAGCTTTTACTTGAAAGCGGAGTGGTGAGCAACATTAATTTCAAGAATAACTGGATGGTTTGGTCCCTGAGTCATCCTCTTGAGAGCCCATACTCTGCAAGGGAGAGAGTGAGCTCGTTTCACAAACAGGTCTGAGGTTTACCTTTGAGACAGACAGGTCTTTGAAGTTAGCAGGTAGGAAAATAAAGTGCGTATCAGATAACATGCACTTCCTTAAACACATGTTTAAAGCATGATGTCTATGCGTGTATTAATATGTTATTATTAACACTATATACACTGACATTCAGTGCAACACATACTACACTGAATCTCTTGCAAGACATTAAATCACTTACCTTCTGCACAAACTGAGGGTTCACAGTGATCTCTTGATCCATGGCTTTCAGTCGTTCATCAAGCTCTATACATTTCAGCATCTTAAAAATACATATCAAGTTAATTACTTGGTCCAGCTTGCTCAAGATACTTCACGGCTGTGTTGTGTAGAACCAATAACCTTTGCCATCACCAAAGTTCCATGTCAAAATGTTCTTATCCCTCATCTCTCATAACTGTCACATTATTTCTTATTCTCTTATTTTGATTCACGTCTTCCTAACAATCCTTTCCAAGGCCACTGACAGACAGCCCCATGAGGGTCAACCACCTCAGCTTACAGGCAGGTTACTGACAGCCAGTGGAAGTGATCCTTGAAGGCTAAAACTCTAAACCCAATCTTTCCAATCCATTCAGTTCAAGTAACTCCACATCAACATCAAGCAGTCGATCTGCTGAAACATCTCAAGCTGTACAGAGGATACAATAGGGAACGTGTTGACAGTAACTGACTATCAATCTAAACCCCCTTTAAATACCACTACTGTGAAATAGGCTAATAATGATTCATAGCCCTCAATCTCTTCATGTAAGTCACCTACACTGGCTTCTCCCAGCAGCTCTGATTACAGGCTAAAGTACTCTGGTAGCAATTCCAAAAGCAGTTAAGATCTTAAAGACTTACCTCCTGGTCAATGTTATGGAGCATAGCTGGATTGTTATATTTTTCAGGATTATCATGGAAACAGACCATACCATCTTTCTGGTTAATACTTGCAAAGATTTCACCATCTTCTATCTGAAATGAGAAAAGGTTTAACATAAGGCATCACCAAGAAGAGAGTTTTGAGTAACTACAGCACACATGCTCCTTGTAGAATCATCTTGTTTGCTTCTTATTTCCTAACAGCTTCCCAAAGACAAATGCTGCGTGGTGGAGAATCCTGCTATGACTTTTTGAGAACAGTCTAAACACCACAGCACACTGACAGTATTTCCTTCACCCTGAAAGGGAACCATTCTTCAGGCACTCAGAACACCCACCACCAACCCAGACACTTAAATACACTGGAACAAGTTTTAAGTGAGGATAGTTCAGCCAAGTCTCGAGTCTCACCATGTGGAGGACGTATTTTTCTGCTTCTTGGGGCCCCGACAACTGCACTCGACTTGCCATGTCTTGTAATGACAACGTTAAAAATGTCTGAAATGTAGAAAGTATCAAACCATTAAAGCTAGATGTGAAGAACTTTTCTAATCCAATTTGTGAAGCCCAATGGGAAAAAACAAGTGGGACACAGTTATTACTTATAAAAGCCCCATGAGAGAGAAGTCAGCTCTTCCTCTGAAGACATGAATCTCTTACACTGTTCACATACACAGACCAAACTAACAGTCGTTACTCCATTTCTGCTATTCCTTTTTACCCCAAGCACAGTCCTGACCATGCCCAACCTCTTCCCTCACCTTTTTACTTGAATAAGGTGGCTGTCCATCCCTTGAATCTCCTTCAAGAGATGCATGTATTGTATTCCTTCTGAGGTTAGTTATATTGCAGCAAACATCATTTGCGCGTGCCATAAAAGAGCCTTCCCCGATCATCTTTAAGGATTAATCTGACCTCTCAGATGAAGGAGCACGTCGCTCCACCGCTTCTGGTTTTCCCCTTACTTCAGATACTTCCAAAATCTGTCCTATTCACTCCCTCTTCTCTAATCAAGCATCCTGTAAAGTTCAGTTCTCTCTTCTGAACAGAGATGAAGGTCACTGGGTCGCTGCGCTCACAACTTCTCTGAATTATGTATGAAAATCTCATGGGCAAACCCCCTTGATAGACAGACACATTTATCCACCTTTTAAATAAAGCATAAGTAGCCACCTGAGGTGGTTTTCTATATAGAGTATTTTAGCCTCATTTGTTTCAGACACAAATCTCAGCTTTACTCATTTCTCCATGACATTACTGCAATATCATTTTGCTCTGAATTGAATACATTCCAGAGATACTCTGCGAGAAAAACTAATCACAATTCCTCAGCAAAACCACCCCCTTTGTCTTACCTTGGTTAGCCTCTGAATATTCTTTTTGTAGAGAGATGACAAGCACTGCTTAACCAGCCCCATATTGTTATCCCTTGTGAATGTTTCACTGTGTTTGTTCACCAGGTTTCGAAGCTCCGAGGGTTTATTGGTTGAATAAACTTGTGCTAGTTCATGGTAAGCATTGCTAAGGGGCTGCAATTAGAAAAATGAGAATCCTTTATAAAGAACATGCTGTTCAACCAGCCTCTATTCACTACTTCGACATTAGAAGCCACGCAGGCATCAAAGCAGATCTTAAGTAGTTCACCCATTTCTCATACCAAATAGATGATGCCAGTACACGGCATTAGAGCAGCGGCAGATCCTCATATGCTAAATCTGTATTACTACAATATAAGATTTAATAAACTTCATTCAAGGATCTCTGTACGACAGTTCTAATTCTGGAAGTGCAAGGAAAAGGCCATTAGCTGAACAGTGTATGAAGTGAGCTGAATTCAAGGTGCATAGTCACTGCCCATTGATTATAAGACACTGTCACCTTGACCACAATGCATCACAGCAGGGCCAAGAGAATCAGAGGGTGAAGACTCGTTCACTTTAAAGCAGCAACTGTCTGAGTTTGCTTATTAATACCTGGAGTTGCAAGATTTTGGGAGCTCTACAATTTTGGTCACATATCAATAAACTCAGTGTTAAATAAGAACTAGAAGTGTGTTATTTATTGAGGATCAGAACTCTCTCACTAATGTTTTTCTCTTCCACCTTACACCTCCTAATCTCAATGCTTACAGACTGCAAACTTGCAGCTTTTTCAGCAGCTTTTATTCTTTATAAAGCTGGGGTTTTGGAATAATCCATTTAGCATTTCATACTTCAACTAGATGAAGTTACGGGCTGAATGTTCTTACAAGGACACTGGACACTGAAAGCCAAATGAAAGTCGAGTCTTGTTTGAGTTCTAACATAAAACAGTATCAAGGGATGTGCAGTATCAGTGAAGAGAATACTGGTAAGTACCATTCAACCCAAAAATTCCTCCAAATTTATGTTTAAAAACCTGTATCCCAATATGAACAACAAAGTTTGTTTGTACAAGACCCTCTTTAGCTATTGTACACTAGAAAGGCAGCAGGAGATTGCCCTCTGGCACATTATTCCATGATCTGCAATGTTAAAAAGTACCATCAAATGAGGGTAGGAAACGTAAACTCAGCTTTATTGCTCTGTTATTTAACTGTATTCACAAAGACTTACCTTAATGAATCTACCAACTATCTGGGAAGTGTATTTTGGTAGCTGCTGAACTTTGCCAAGTAGTATCAAAGAAACTAGAATATACTTTTTATACGATTCCAACATAATATGACTGACTGCCATGGCTGGAGTAGTTATTGCCTAAGCAAGAAAGAAAGAAATGGAATAGGAATTTAATATATTTACTGATAGGTGCTGGTAGCTATTGCATTAAGAAAAAAAAATCTCAGTTTCAAGGTACATGTGGAAGGGATACAGTGACATGAAATTCACCTTTGAGCATTAAAGCTTTAAACTAGCTTCTGTCAAAACTAATCATCCACAATATATGAAATTCTATGCAAGCTGCTCAAAACACATCGTGTTACAGTGGTGCCTACCTTCAAATAACCCTGTTAAGAGAAATCTAAATGTCTTTCCTTGGTCTATATCGAAAGTTGTACTAGAAATCACCTGCAGCTACTTGTTACCAGGAGTGATTATACACTTTAGAACCTGGATTCACACAGATCCCTAAAGAGGTTGTATAAAGCTATTACACCATCAGATCTCACATTTAATTATGCAGAAAGAGGCCAGCAGAATCAGGAAAAGGGATTTCAGTTTACTATGATGCTGCTAAGCTACTCAAGGGCTGACACTTGCATACAGAAACTGCTATGTATTTGACAGCATTTTTCTCTCATACATACACTAAGTTTTCCCAATTTGGAGATTTTTTACTTCTTTCACAGAGAAAATGAAATCAATATTGTGATAACCTTGACGTGTCACTCCCCTCATAAAATTAGCAAAGGTCTTAGGCAAACCCACTGCATTAGTTTTGCTTTAAGAACACACAATCGTGCATGTCAGCCTGGGAGCCGTTGCTATGCCAGCAGCAATAAACAAGCATCTGAAAAATATTTATAGTGAGATAAATTTAACATCAACCTTTGAGATGCATAGTTTTGTGGTGCAATAGTTACTTGGCTGGAAGAGACCTTCTTAAAGGAAAACACCTCTAAGGACAGCTTGCTTGGTACTTCACTACATGCTGAGTACCACCATTCAGGCTGTACCTGTCATAAAGGAGCTAGTAGTGAACGTGAACCCAACTCAGGTTGTATGCATTGCTATGATGAACACACACACACACACACACACACAACCAAACCCCATGTGAATGATGAGCAGCAATACAGATCTGTTAGTGGAATCATATCTTTAAGGTTAAGACTGAAAATCATTGGTGGCTGCTTGTGCCTTATGTTAGGTACACAGCTTTTCCTGCTCTCCTTGGTGGCAATTCAAAGATGATATGTTAGCTCAGCACTACTATACATGCTACTGTAGTAGTGCTACAGTACGCTACTACTGCCTTTCAAGTGATCACACTTGAGACTTACCATTTGATTTCAAGTTACCTGTTCATAAAAGTAGAGTGCTCTTTCAAAGTTCTTTAGCCCAGTGTATATCATCCCACCATAGTAGTAGTAACATAAAAAGTGCTTCGCATCATATGCCCCATTCTCTTTACAAATATCCATCATGTCCACATCTAGATACGGGAGGGCAGGTTTAAAGCATTTTGCTAACAAACAGAGCTACAAGAAAATAAATCAGGTTGCCATAAATTAGCCATTTCCATTCAAATTTCCAGGAGGAAGAAGCTGAAACTGAATTCATCTGGTGCTAGCCAATAAATCTCACTCCTCCAAGAGTGACAAAACAGGGTATGTGGTAGGGCTGTAACACAGATTATTCTTTAACACAGATTGTGAGCTGTTATAAATTATCTGAATGCTAAAGAAATTAGACTGAGACAAAGCTGTCTGAAATTCCAGGCCTTACAGACTGCCTGCACTAAATATTGCACTAAACATTCCTGTCCAACCCAGGAGCCAAGAAATGAGACAGAAGAGCAAATTCAGGCCAAAGACACTGAAACAAACTGGCTTTTTGTCAAATCTGAGCAAACAGTATCTGGGTATTACACTTACGCTGCCTGTGTGTGACTTTCAGCCCAGAGAGAAGAGATGGCAAAGGACTTCTGAGAGTCATCAACAAAACCAAAAGATCTGGGGACATGCACTGCACATTTAAAATGCACAGAAGGGCATTTTATTTCAGTGTATCATTATTTATGACTGGAGACCAGTTAAAAGGCAATTTAATACTACAATACATGAACATGCATCTCCTCAAAGGGTTCTACCTATAAAATATGCTTTACTCTCACCAAAAGCCCTTACAGCTCCCCTTACCTGGCAGAGATCTGCGTGTATTGAGGTCAGCTGGTTTGTGTTCATCTGCATCTTGTCTATGGCTTGTCTGAGAATGCTAATTCCTCGCAGGGGCTGTCAGAAATTACATCTCTTTCAGACAATTTCTCATAGATGGCAGCACATTGGATCTTATGTTGACACTTACAAATGAAAAATAACACTAATTGACAGGTTCCATTCAGTAATAGTTAACTTGAGGTTCCCTTTGTGTAGGATACTGCAGTCTCTCAGACAATAAAATTAACCTGGGCTATACAACTTCTCCTGCTAAGCTAAATGAAGCCATCAATTCTGCTCCATAAAGCCAACCTCATCAGGAATATAGGAGTTTGTATTGATACAAAAGCCTTTCTTGACTCCATGACATGACTCCCAGCAAGTCATAAAGGCAAGGCTCTTGATTTGCTCCACTTAGACCAGACTTGATCTCTGCTTCTACTTCAGGCTAGATTTCACTGAAGTAGCCTGAAAAAGATCAGTATCTTAGCAACAGAAACATTGGTCAACTACTTCTTAATCAAGTTTCCTTTATATTTTGAGGCATTTCATTAAGAACATTATATAACACTGGTGAGAATAACACTGAAACCAGTATCACTGACTCACCAGTGCTAATAATTGTTGCAGCTCTCTCCTACTCAAGCACACGTTGCCTGAAGAACATTCTGGGTACCACAGATTCCGTACTTTGTGTGACAGAGCACGCTTTTAGGTGACTCTCCCCCTAATAATGCAGCTTCCCTATGTTTTCCTTAAATAAAGCTGGAAAATCATGGTTCAGGTTCATTTCTTCTGAGTAAACTTAACAAATAAGGAGCTGCACAAAAATACATAACGTGAAGTTCGTGGCAAATCTTTATGAAGCAAGTAAGAGACTGTAATCATAAAACAGTTAGGGATGGAAATGACCTCAAGATCATCTTGTTCCAACCCCCTGTCAAGGGCAGGGAGACCTCACACTAGACCATGTTGCCCAAGGCATGTCCCTTTTAAGAGCTTGGATATGTAGGTAGCTTATATGTACTAGATAACAGTTGCTCACCTGTTTTCTCTCCACAAGGGCATTTGTTAACTGGTGGCACAGGCCAGCAACTAAATACAGTAAAAAAAAAAACACAAAGAAAAACACAACACAGTGAAAAATCAGAATAAAACTATCAAAACCCCATATAAAGTCTGAAAATAAGCTTAACTTACAAGTGTCTGTTGCATATCTGATGTGTTCTCCGTTACAAGTGCTGATAAAAAGCTGCACCTGCGAGAATAACGTTTCGAAGTCAGGGATGCTGGGCATAGAAAACTTCACAAACCTAAACCAAGCAAACAAACAAAAGGGTTAGCACTTCACATTTGGAGCTTCATTACTGAGTCTCTGTAGATGCACGTAGATGCTTGCAAACAAATCCAAAGTGTTTATGACAGATGGCAGACGAGCTGCACAAGGTTTGAAAATACACTTTCCCTGCACACCCCCATTCTCAGTGTAGTGCAAACTGCAATTTAGAACAAACTATGGCAAACAAAGATCATTCTGTCTGCTACAATAGTTACAATCAGAACTGAAACACTGGCTAATGATGATGAGTTGTAATACTCAGCCACATAACCTCTCTGGCCACTTTTGCCTCTCCTACAGCTGTCTCCTGCTTCGATGTGCTCAAGGTCATCTCAGCTATTACATTATTAGATGTGTATCTCTTGTTAGGAGCATTTTCTCTTCACTCTCTGGTGGTTCCTTAGCACCTTATAGGCTTGCACACTGCTGCTTCTGGAGGATGAGCCATGATTATGCCCACCTCAGGGCAATGAATCCCTGTGCATCCAAGAAATGCCACAAAAACCTATGGGAAAACTCCTCTGTTCCATGCTATCAGTACACTCTGTTGATACCATCTCTTCAAATAATACACTTTACATATTATTGCCCCATCCCTGGCAGTGTTCAAGGCCAGGTCGGACAGGGCTTGGAGCAAGCTGCTCTATTGGAAGGTGTCCCTGCCCGTGGCAGGGGTTGGAACTGGATGAGCTTTAAGGTCCCTTCCAACCCAAACCAATCTATGATTCTATTTCCTCTACACACTTATCTCCTTCCTCTACCTGTTTAATGATTGTTTCCATGTACCCCATGATACAATTCTGCTAACGCAGTACTGATGCCCTGCTTGTTGTAAAGTCCATACTGCATTTTTATGAGATGCTAGATTGTAATACTAAACAGCATTTTCTCCATGTATTCCAGTAATTTTGTTTCAAAAGGGTGGCAGAATGAGTACCAGGATTCTGATCTTTCCTTTGAAAAGAGAACTGTTAAGTAATAGTGAAACCTGTAGATGCTCCACTTATAGTTAGGTACAGCTAGAAACAATAGCTGGAGCTTCAAGGCCAAATACCTTTATCTCAGCATCACCAACTCAAGTATTATCTTAAACTACAGACAACAGCAAGAGCTTCAGTGCTGTCCAGAGGCAAACAGCCAAGAACTGTCAGAAGAACCCATGGAAAGAAAAGTGTTATTTCACACTTACAGTCTTAAAAGTCAGTTTTATACCTTTTTGCTGCACACATATGGAAAAACACTTATAGATACAGCCATAAGGAAAACAACCCCTAATATTAACACTTGACAGTAATGGCATTTACAACCTCCAGAGGTTTCCTTTGGAAAACGTAAGTTTTGAGTTGGTGTTTTTATTCCTAAATGTGCATCACTAAGCACCATTCTAACAAACACAGACTGAAAACATGCAAAAGAAAAACAGCTGGGAGACAACTCAGTATTAAAACTCCAGGCAACATACTAAGCTATTTAACTGAAAGGAAGCACCACTTACAAGACAGCCAGAACACCTAATGAGTGCTCCTGCACATCCAGGGCACCAAGGACTGTATCCAGATGGGAAAGGTTTTTTGCCAACAGCTCTCCACTCTTATTGATCAGCTCACAAAGCTGGGTCATTTGCCCTGAAACACAAAACATGTTGTCAGACTCTAATTAGAGAACACTCACACATTCCCATACTTCATGACACTCTTCCTGCCCTGTATAACCTGAGGAAAAAGCAGCATCACCCAGAGAATTTACTTTTCTTTCATTCAGTGGGCATCAGCTTTCAACAGCGAGGTACCCACCATATGTGGCAGTGAAGCTTCTGGCCTTTGGGATTGCAAAGGAAGCCCTTAGAACATAAACCCAGCAGGAAAAGCAGCATCAACTCACCTCAGAGATGGGCTGCACGGTCTGGTATCACCACCAAGCTCCACCTAAGCCAAGTCTACCAAACTCTAACCAGTGTACTGCCATGCAACATTTTGCCTGGTGGATAAATTTATCTTCACTTGTACTTTTGGGGCGTTGTAAAGGGAAAAAAACAGAACAAAACAAGACCAAAACCAGTCTCCTCCACTCTCTAGAAAATCCCAATACCACAGCTTGTTCCTTGCTGCTTCTCCAGTGCCCTATTTACCACTTTCCAGCTCTGCTCATAAACATGTTTCTTTGAAGCTGACATTAACATTACAACTAAGCACCTACAAGAAAAGGCTTTAAAGATCTGTTCTTAAATCTGGTTTGTGTAATTAAAACTGCAGTGGCGTTCTATTTGTTGTGAGCCATGAACACAGCATGAAAGGCAACTACTCTGAATTAGGAAGGTACAGTAAGCCCAGAAACCTTACAAAGAAAGCAGATCGATTGTCACAAACTGCTTTCAAACTCTTTCCCCACCATTACCTGAATTAAACTAACCTTTGCTGAAGCAGAGGATTGTTTGAACGTTCAATCCTTGTAGATTAGAGAGAAAAAGCAGAGTTTCCTCTCACCCCTACAAAAATCTTCATAAAAAGAGGAATAGTGCCTCCATTCATAGAGATGCATTATCCTCAACTCTCTTGGCCTTTTCCTTTGAAAAAGGGAAACCCTAGCAATGAAATGTTGGATTTGAAGCAATAGAGGGATCAGAAGTTCCAAACAGGGGACAAGAGCCCTCACACCCCAAACCGCTCTCTCCATATGGAATTCAAATTCCTGCCATAAGCATGGAAAGAGATAGGGCTTGTAAAATGCTCTGTAGCTTGGTAACAGGTTGAAAACCTTAGTTCTGGTGAGCTCCCTAGTAAGAAATCCTTCCATATGACAGCTATCACCTGGCACTCCCCTATAAACCAAAGCCAAAACCCCTCCTGAGCAACCCTCTACCCACCAGCATCACTGAACAACTTGCGGTGTACGCAGACGTTACCCACACCAGGCCCAACCAATCCATTTATGTCACTTCCCATGCACTTCCCAATGCTGAGAACCAGAACCGAACACCACTACCGCGAGCACACAGACTTCTCCCATCGGCTCTCCCAGTCTCCAGCAGCCTCCCTGGATTTGCTTCTTCAAGGGAATGACTATCTGGCTTATCCCTAATGGAAGAACTTCCACTTGGACAACCAGAACCCCTTTTGCATCCAGAAAGCTTATCCCTATCTGGCTTATCCCTAATGGAAGAACTTCCACTTAGACAACCAGAACCCCTTGTGCATCCAGAAAGCCTTGTAGTAAAAAGTTCTCCAGTTAAGCAAAGAATCACCTTTGTACCCACACTTTTTAGGTATAATTTCTCTCTTGCATGTGATACCCTCCAGTAAAAACACTCTATATGCAACAAATTAAAGCAATGTAAGAGCAAGTTGGAGCTCTATGCAGAGATAAAGCCTGGGGACACAGAGGAAAGCATCAACTCGTGATCAGTTCCACGGAGCAACCATCCCACGCGGAGCAACCCCTCAGCACACACTCTAGGAAGCATCAACACGGGAAGTTCAAGAACCAGGAACCGCTGTGTCCACGCACAGGGAAAGCAGGAGTTTGGCAAAGAACCGAAAGGATTCTAACTATGGTTATTAAAACATTTTTCTAAGCGCTCGGATTATGGTACCTCTGAGGTGGAGTCTCAGCCTTCCTCCCATGCGGTTCTGTTCATGCCCCGCTTTATCCCCATGGAATACCGCTCGTGCAGTGCACTTTAAAGCCCACCGCTCAGCACCGAGGTGACAGGCCGGGTTGCCGAACCCCCCGTTAAAGCCCCTGCGGTGCCCGAAGGCTCGGAATCACTGCCGGCTTCACCGCACTCCGCCGGGACCTCTCCCTCATGGCCACCGCTGCCAGCCGGACCCTGTCAAACCCCACCGGGACCCCCCGGAGGCCACAGCCCGGTGAAGGCCCCACAGGACAGGAGGCTGAGGGAGAGCCGTGAGGGAGCGGAACGAGGAGGACACGGGGGAAGGCCGCGGCCCGCCCCCCTCGGCTCCCGCGGCCTCCAAGCCCCGCTGTGCGCCCGCCCCGCGGTCACCTTGGGCCGAGAGCTGCCGGACGCTGTTGACGAACTGCTCCAGGGCCGACGCCATCTTGGCGGCTGGCGGCGCGGCCGCGCGCGGGGGTGGCGGGAGCGCGCACGGGGAAGGAGGCACCGCTTACGGGCCCCGCCGCCGCCGCCGCCGACCTACCCGCCAGCCAATCAGCGGCCGCGGCGCGGAGCCGCGCCACGCCCGCCGCCGCTGCGTCATTTCCGCCGCTTCGCCACCTCTCGCGGGAAAAGAGGTTGCCATGGCAACCACCGCCCTTCCGCCCCCCCCGTTCGAAGCCCGCGTTAAGAGCGAGGGAGGGAGGAGCGGGAAGCCGTGACTCAGCGGGGCTGCGTGATGACGTCACGGCGGCGTCACCCCCTCCGCGGCGCGGGGCTCGGGCACGTTGTCCCCTTGGCGGGGTGACCGGAGGCTGAGCGTGGCGACGGTTCGCCCCTATGGGACAATATGGGATAATATGGGATAATAATACCATCCCTATGATGAGAAATGGGGCTGCTCAGCCTGGAGGAGTGAATGGAGACCTCCTTCAGCCTGCCACTGTCTGAGTAGGGATGCTGGAGAGGGGCTCTGCATCAGGGACTGCGGGGACGGGACGAGAGGGGATGGGTTCGAACTGAAACAGGGAGATTGAGGTTGGATAAAAGGAAGTTCTTCCCTGTGAGGGTGCTGAGGCGCTGGCACAGGGTGCCCAGAGAAGCTGTGGCTGCCCCATCCCGGCAGTGTTCAAGGCCAGGTTGGACACAGGGGCTTGGAGCAAGCTGCTCTGGTGGGAGGGGTCCCTGCTTGGAAGTGGATGAGCTTTAAGGTCCCTTCCAACCCAAACCAGGTTGGGATTCTCTGTGTGTGCTCCATCGCTGCAGGAGCTGGTGGGCAGGGAAGTACCCTTCACCGTACCACAAGGAAGAAGGTCTCACTGTGGGATGTGTGCGTGTTCTCTCACTGCTTCCTCAGACACATCAAGCTGTGTTGAAATCCTGTTCCTCACCATACACAAATGCCTCTGGCACAAGGGAAAGCAGAACTCAGCCTTAAAACTTCACGTTTTCCTTCCCTGTCAACATTCACCACTGCGTACAGCCCGGCTGCCAGTTCTCCTTCACGCCATGACCTTTCCCAAACCACCTGATCTCTCATCTGCCCTTTCTGTGAAGCAAGGACGATGCCTTCTATTGGAACACACTCTGGAATTAAAAGATGGAATACTTTGGAGCTGCTAAAGCTGTATTATTGCCACCGGTCGAGATCTTCCCCAGCTCAGCGGCTGCCTAATCCCGTTAGTCACACTCAGAGGCTTCCCCCTCCTTTAGCAGCTCAAATCCCTGCAGTGTTTTGTGACTGCAGCCATCCATGGTCCTGTACCAGAATGCCCAGAGTGTGATGTGCCCCCAGCGCTCCTTTTGGGGCTAGTTTTGTCTTTTAAAGGTTCCTATTGTCACCCGTGGGGACGGATCTGTGTCACACCGAGCTAGAACCTGGGCAGAGCACGAATTGGTTGAAATCGGTGTGTTTTAGGTCAAATCAGCTGCAAAAATCCTTGCGTTATGTGCACCCCAGCACCCGCTCGCAGGGACGGGGCTCGGAGGGGTCATTGTGGGTACCCCCCAAGCTGGGACTCGGGTAAACTGAGGCGGGGGCTGCGGGGAAGGGGCGGGCGGATGGGATCGGCGCCGTCGCACCGCGTTTGTGCCGCTTGAAGGCGGTGCCGCCGCTCCGAGCTCGGTCGGGCACCGGGAAGAGGAACTGGGCTTTGCACTGCCGGGTCGGGGTGAACGCACCGCCGAGCACCGGGGTCCCGCTGCCGCTTTGCTGCGCTGCAAAAGGGAGGGATGGGGCGGGGAGGAGGCGAGCGCCGGTCTTTGCATCCCCCCCTTGCAGCCCCTCTGCTCCCTGTTGCATCCCCCTTGCACCCTCCCGCTCCTCCCTTCTGCTGCAAGGGGCCGTGCTTGAAATAAAGCCCCCCCCCCCACCTCCCCTTGCCCGCAGACCCCCCCTAATCCCCTGCTTAAGCCCCCTTTCCATCATGATCTTGCTGAGCAGCTTCTTGCACCTCCGGCCTCGGCGCTGCGGTCCCTTCGCAGGGCTGGGCAGGGGTCCCGGCCCCTTAGCGGGGTCCCGCAGGGCGCTGCGGGTGCTGGTGGACATGGATGGGGTGCTGGCTGACTTCGAAGGAGGCTTCCTCAAGAAGTTCAGAGCCAGGTATCCCGACAAGCCCTACATTGCCCTGGAGGACCGGAGGGGCTTCTGGGTGTCGGAGCAATACGGGCGCCTGGGACCTGAGCTGAGTGTGAGTCTATGCATCATCCCCGGCTCTGCGCGTGGCTCTTGGTTTGCTCTGTGCTGTGTGGTTGGAGCTCTGGCCCCTATGGGACCCCCCCACCACCACCCATTAACTCCTCCATGTCCGAGGTGCAGCGCTGTTGGTGCTGGATGGAGCTCCCATTGAAACGCAGGGCTGCATGCAGGAGGGCTTCCTGAGGCGCTTTGCTCCTGGAAATCCGGTGTTTTCCATGCACATCTGTTTCCCTGCATGCATGGATGGATGGAGATGGATGCAAGGAGAGAGGAGAGCTGGTTTAATTGCATAGCTGGGGTTTTCTAGCTCTGACATGGCCAAGCTGCATGGATTGATAATGTTCCTGGGTGGATTATTTAGTTCCTCAAGAGCCATGTGAGGAGTGGGACACAGAGAAGTTGAGAGCAAACCATGCAATTGATGCTTCATGTGAGGGCTTCCTTTATATTAAATCAATCCCAAGCTTCAGAATTATTGCGCTGCCTTTAATCATTAAAGCCTAAAAGCAGAAGCTCTTGTTATGCTGTCCTTTATCATTCAGCAAAGGGCTGAGTGCTGCACAAAGGTGGTTTCTGCCTCTACCAGTTTCCCATCTCAATGGGATGTCTCTGGTCTCACCTGCAGATTGCAGTTGTAGTTGAATGGTGTTGGGGCAAATAAAACTACTCATCATTAGAGGTGTGATGGCTGCAAGGAAAGGAGGAGGGTGAATAAGGTCCAAGGCTCTGCCACTGGCAAAGACCTGAACAGTTTGATGAGCTGAAGGAATAACGTGTCCTCTCTAGCTGATGAGAGGGGAATGGAGGACATCATTCATGCGGGAAAGCAGATGCTAAAAGTATGACAGGAGCGTGATAACCCTTTTGTTTCTGCTTGATCTTAACTACTTTGGATGTGTTAAATGAAGTGAGCTCTTTTTGTGTCTGCTGTGATCATGTAAAGCCATTAAAACCTTGCACTGAACAAGTAGCAAAACCTCCCCAGACTGACATCAGGGCAGCTCTGATTTCATCCATGATTTCAGACCAGGGATAAAGAGAGTAGGAGCTGCTCTGTGGCTGCAGGGCCACGGACCATTGCAGACATCAGACAGCACCATTGACCTCCTGTAGGAGACTGGAAAATAGAAGCTAAAGAGACCAATGAGCTGGAGGTCCCAGCTCTGAGAAGGAGAACAGCTCAGCAATACATTGAGCATACAGACCTGAAAGGATGGGGGAGCCTTGGATGGGTAGGAAAATGGCTCATGGGGAGACATAGGAAATTGAGGGTCTGCCCTGCCTGGCATGTGGTAGGATTCCCAACCTGGGGATTTTTCCATCTGCTGCTGCCTGTGGTGCCACAGGGAATTATTCGGGCGCTGGGAGCCAAGCAGGTCTCTCCTTAGCTCTTCCCCCATCAAACTTGATTGCAAAATGCTTTTTGACATGAGTGAGTGGAAGCCAAAGAGCTGCGGAAGTCCTTGCCGTAGGAAAACACTTCAGGGCAGTTTGAAGTGCTCTGCTGCATCGGGCCTCTCTTCCCAGACGTCTCTTGTGCAGCTGCAGTCAGTATGGTGAAGTAAAGCAGCATTGCTCACCGGCCTAAAGCAGAGCAGGGGGTGTTTGCCTGGCTCCCTTGCACCGAATCGGAGTGCATACGTACATATATATGTATGTCTCTCATACATATTTAACATGAATGAAGAAGCTTTTCTTCCCTCCTCTGAACCACTGAGGTTTGCTGCTGCTCAGGCAAAGGGGAAGAGAGCAAGAGTTGATGTGGGTAGCCTCTTCTTTTAAGTTTCTTCCCCAAGTAATGCATTAAAGGCATAACGTGGTGGTTACCCACTAGGTTCCCACTTAGCAGGCAGGAGGGAGCTGCCGACGTGTCCAACCAGCCTGTTTGTTCCTATGAGCATTAAGAGCGAGCATCACTGAGGCTGCTCCTACTCTGATGCTCTGCTGGCTCCTCCATCCCTTTGCAATACAAGAAGGCTGGGATAGGCTTAAACTTCCTTTTGTCCCTGTTTTCCTACCTCAAATACAGAAGCAGAGCTGCTTAAAATGAAGATCAGTCCTTCAGGGCACAGCTCCCTTCAAACCTTCTCCGAGCTGCATTTACAGCTACTTGGCTGCATTGCAACACCAGGACAGGGCTGCTTCTGCTCCCCACAGCCATACTGCAGCACAACCAGGCTCTCTCCTCCTTGAGGACCCAGTGTCTGTGCTTGAGGGAGTGCAGGGGATGGATGCTGTTCCGTAGAGCTGGATCCCATCACATGCAGCCCCTGGTCCCAAAGTTTTGCTCCCTGTAGTTTCTGCTCTGTGCCATGTGCAGCCTGGCTGCTGACCTGGTTGTGAAGTGTCTCAAACCCTTGCCTGGAGGTGCTCTATTTGCCTGACAGACCTTGCCCAGACATCCCTGAGGATGAGCATCTGCATTCCTCCTGACATGCAGTTCACCCTATAATATGTGTTCTCTTATGAGAGCAGCCCAGCTGCTATTTTAAGTGATCTGATTGAAACAAATAGGCCAGGCAGCATCTGTGGCTGAACAGCACCACATTACAGCAGGGCTACCAGGGCTACCATCAGCCGGATCCACATGGAAGCGCCCCTCTGGATGCACATCCAGGGTTCGATTTGGTTCTGGACAATCTCTTGTGTTCTGATAAGAAGGAACATGCTGCTCCCTCTGTGTTTGGGGCTGCAGAGGCAAAACCAAGCTGCTCCAGAGGATGTCCAGTCTAAATGGTGTGGAGTGGGTGCAGGCTGGCTGGTGGGGAACAGAGGCGCCCACAGAGGCAAGGCGGGTTAGCAGGAGGGGACCGGAGCCAGCGCTCCCACCTTTCCCACTGTCACCATC